GGAATTTCCTGCAGAGAAAACAGCGCGCCAGCAGCAATGGATTGCTAATGATTACCCAGGACTTACGGTATGTCGGCTTCTGTTCTACAGAATTAGCTCATTTATTCCTCATAACTCTAAGAAGTCAGCACTACTTCTGTTCCAGTTCCACAGCTGAGGAACCTGCTGAAGGGGGTCGCTCTGACCTCAGAGCCAAGGCTGTTAACCCCTATGCTGTCCCACAGTGACACAGAGCCATGAGGAAGTGCCTCATCTACAGACCTGGGATGAGCGCAGGTAAGTGTCTGGGTGAGGCAGCAGCAGGTGGTGAAGTCAGGTTTGTGTGTAGGGGCAAATGGTGAAGGAATGTGAGTGAATGCAGAGCTAGAGGTAAATAGTTAGGTTCATCCCCCAGGGACTGGGGAGCCAAAACAAGCTTTCAGGCCTGTCAGTGGCTTGATCAGCACTGCACTTGAGCACAATACCATGAGAGTGATGTGGAAGATGGGCCAGATTTGGGGGAGGCTAAAGAAACGGAGCCTACTTCAAAAGGCAGAGCAGGGGCACCTGGGTGGCTCAGTGGGTTAAGCCCCTGCCTTCGGCTCGGGTCGTGATCTCAGGGTCCTTGGATCGAGCCCCGCGTCGGGCTCTCTGCTTGGCGGGGAGCCTGCTTCCTCCTCTCTATCCCTCTCTCTGCCTGCCTCTCTGCCTACTTGTGGTCCCTGTCTGTCAAATAAATAAATAAAATCTTTAAAAACAAAACAAAACAAAAGACAGAGCAAAACACTAGGCCCTGAACGAGGCAGAGAGTAAGAATGGGGAGTAACAGGTAGATCTGAGAGATTCTTCTAGATATAATTGATGCAAGATGGTGAAGAAGGAGTTCCGGGGCAGTGGGAAGAAAAGGAAATGAGAAGACGCCAAGTTCATAACTTGGTATCACCAGTCGCCAAATTTCTCATCCATCTGAGTAAATGTTACATGGGATGGGTGACTGGGAGGGAAGAAAGTGGTGGTTTAGTCATGCACCTGTCGTGTTATTGTCTAACTGCTTCGTGCTCATAGGTCTGGCAAAACCGTGATCTTCGCTAAGGCAGAAATGACTCATAAGTATCCTGTGTCTACATATCCACTCAGTGATCCCTTTAGTGCCAGATACAAAGGCAACTGAATACAATTCAGCAAATACTGGTAAATACTAAAAGTGCACCAGATACTGTGCCCAAGGCAGACCTGCCTACTAAAGGTATAAATCCTAAAAGAAACTAGAAACAAGTTTTATTACATGAAAAATTTTAAGACTCTCTAATGTACAGAAGAAGAAAAACAAATGACTAACATGAATGTAAAAGTTTTCCTTCACTAGTAATCAAATAAATACAAATGAGATACCTTTCTTGTCTATCAAAATTTCCGAGACCTTTAAAAACACTCCTTGGAAAAAGACTAGTCCTTCCCTTTATTGTTCACAATAGCACAGCCCCCCAGGAGGGCTGCCTGACCCGAAGCATGGCAAGAAAGGAACCTAAGACTTGGACTTGTGTTTACTAAACTATAACTAGCCTATGCTTTCTAACGTGCAGTTATTCTCACTTAACCCCTAGAATAACCCGCTGAGGAATGCATGATTATCCCCATTTCAGAAACCAGAGCAGTGAAATCAAGAAACTTGCTTGTGGTTACACAATTAGTAAGTGGTGTGGCCATAATTAAAACCCACATAGTTCTAGCTTCAAAGCCCAGGCGATGTGGAGTGAATACGTATTTCACAATTTAATGATTATTGAGGTACTAATCATCGTTGTTAGGAGAGCCAGCTCTGTGCAGGGGCAGAATGGGCCTTCCCGATACACAGTACCTTGAGGGGACCGTTCTGGGTGCCGCATAGAACCATCCCTGGCTGCCACGGCATAGGCTTCTCCTCTTAGCTACTCAGAGATCCCCACTTTTAGGGTCACTACTGTGTAGGCCATAAGGATATTTTAATCAAACTCTATCTCAGTTTTCTCATATATAAAAATGGATAATAAAATCAACCTCCAAAATCTGTCAAGAAATTAGTTTTCACCCACAGAGTAAAGTTAACATTGCCTCAAAAGTTATCTTTCAAAAGCCTCAAAAGTTATCTTTCAAAAAAAAAAAGCTCCATGATAGTACATTTGAGGCAGTGTTCAAAACCTAGCTCCAATGCAGGACGTGGAAAGCCTGTCTTGAGGAGTCAGTAGGAGGGTTCACCGCTCTCCCGCTCTGCGTAGCATGCCTTCCACAGATCTGTTACTCTTCACTCTAAACGTTCACTTACTTTCCCATCCCCTTTCCAACACCGTAAACAACTTGAGAACCAAGTCAATGGTTCATACACCCTGTGATGCCAACACCAAGCCACGGGATGGCATGCGGCAGAAAATGTTTAGTAGAAAAAAAAGAAGCCCATCATTTCACCTTCATAAAACCCTATCAGATAATTATCATAAACATCTGCATTCTAAAATGAGCAAGATGCAGTGACTGCCTAACATCATGTACAGGAGGTCAGACTTGCACTGGATCTGGGTCTCAGGACTCTCCACTCCACCATGGATGGACTTTCAACAACCAGAAGGGGAAAAAGCCTACCATAGGCCATTGAGACTAACACTGCACAAAGGTATGTTGTTTCTCAAATGTGATAAGGATTCTGAATGGTATCAGGACATCTTAGAAAGTGGTCACCTGAGAAAGTACAGAGAACAGCATGAAAGTATAAGAAAGCCTGGCAAATCTGGGTCTAAACCAAGCTCACTTTGAACTTCGCCCTATTGCCTTGGGCAAATCTCTTAAACTGAGGAGCCTTGGTTTCCTCGTCTATAAAATGGTTTTTTTTTAAGATTTTATTCATTTACTTGACAGAGAGAGAGAGAGAGATCACAAGTAAGCAGAGAGGCAAGCAAAGAGAGAGGAGGAAGCAGGCTCCCTGCTGAGCAGAGAGCCCAATGCAGGGCTCGATCCTAGGACCCTGGGACCATGAGCTGAGCCAAAGGTAGAGGCTTAACCCACTGAGCCACCCAGGTGCCCCTAAAATGGGGTTTTAAGCAATGTTACTTACCTTGTAGTGTTCAATGTAAGAATGAGAGTTATAGTATATGAAAGAAGCAGAAGACATATTACAGATTCATTAATCTGTAGTTATCATTACATGTCAGAAAAAAGTGGCACATACCAATGCCTATGCCACAGCGTGGTTTTCCTCCCCTATCTTACTTTGTTCCCATAACAACCCTGGGGAGTAGGTGCTATCACTTTGATCTTACATTGAGGAAACTCTGACTCAGAGACATATAAGTAACTTGTCCAAGGCCACACGGGTGGCAACAGGCAGAACCTGCAAAGAGACCGAGGTCTTTCTGAATCCAAACCTCTTTGAAGTTTATCTGTCTGCATCCCAGATGGGTTTCAGTGGAAGAAAGATAAGGAGGACTCAGATGTGCCCCCAAATGTATGAGGTCAATGTGAGGTGCTTGAAAAGAAAGCCTGGATCAGATTTATGTGTAGCTTGGGGTATTAGTTAAAAATGTTTGGAACATGTGCAAGATAAGCCAGGGAGAAACCAAAAGAAGATGGCCAATGATAAACACCATGCTCCTCAATTTCCCTTTCAGCTAATAATATAATAAATAGTAAAGAATGACTCATACTCTTATTTCAGTCCTTGTGCTGAGTCTCCAAGTTAAAAATCCCATATTGTAATACCAACGTATTACGTATTTCCTCTTGATCTTGCTACCATTTGTTATGTCCCAGAAAATGTTCCAAAACCAAAGAGAGGAAGTTCAGAAAAGTCACAGAAAATATCTGACCTCCTTTACTCTAAGGAAAAAAAAAAAAGAACAAGAAAACCTTTCCTAGGTTAGTCTCTTATTTGTATCATTAACACCAAGGCATGGTATAAGATGACAAGATGACACAGGAAGTAACTAGTTTAACAGTAGATGGCTTCAAATCATTGTACAGAGAAACAAATAGTATTTCACAATAAACAACAACAAAACTCTTTTTGTGGTGTTTTCCTCTATCACACACAGCTCCCCCAACCTTGGAACAAACAGGCCTTTACATTCTCCAGTCAAGGCCCAGGAAACCTTCAGGCTGTGAATGTTTAAGATTCAGGCAGTCAGGAGTCAGGTTAGCATGAGGAGAGACATGCGTGAGAAAAATGAAAACAAAAAACAAGTAAAACACCTCTCCCTGTGGAATGGAAAGTTATCAAGTGAGGCACTGAACCCACGTCCTCCCACCTGACACCACAAAGCTATAAACCCAGGACGACACTTGGTCTGGGCTCAGAACCCAGACTTGGGGAAAGAAAACTCAACAAAGAAGGGGTGGTTCGGCGGGTTCTGATATGTAGTGAAATCACTGGGTCTGTTCAAATTTATGAGCTTAAGGAAGGGTCAGAAATTCTCCTCTAATAAAAACATCCTTCTGTGAACTTTTCCGAAGTAAAGTTAATGGCACACAAAGCCAAGCAGTTCACATAGAAAACTCATTCCTAAGGGACTACCTGTAAACTCAGAAGTTTGTCTTCACGAAATCAAATGTTCAACAGAACGCCCCTCTGCTCACTCTCACCCCCATTCAAAGTGCTATATCCTTTACCACCAGTCACCCATGCCCAGACTCTTCTCCATTCTCCTTGGCCCCTGAAAGGCCTCAGGCAACAGAGCCTCGGGACCCGCGAGAGCACCCCTCCCCTCCCTGCCATCCCCATTATTCGGCAAAGAGCCCTGCTCTCCCCTGGAGCCAACAGTCTGCAGCTCCTTCAATGCAGGCGCGAGCAGGCAGGAATGGTGGGAAGAGAAGCCGTGCCAGCTGCATGTTTCAGAAGCTCCCTCCATATGCATTTGCCAAAGGAACAAAAAGAAAATCAATGCCAGGAAAAGACAACTGAGATGAGGATGCGGTGGGACCGCGGCTGACTCCTTGCCTCTTAGCAGCAAGGGACCGGCCATCCACGCGTTCGAGCCACAGACCCCAGTCGTTACCTTCAGGATGCAGGCCATGGCGCTCCGCCGGCCCTTCTGCCACCGAGCAGCGGGCGCGCCTGGGTCAGGGGCAGTCCCGGCGACAGGCTGGAGGCTGGTACCGCGGCAGGACCGCTCCAGCCCACATTCCCGCAGATCCAAATAAGGGGACCGCGGTGCGAGCTGCGCGGGCACAGGCCCCGCCCCCCGCGCCGCGGCCCCGCCCCCGGGCCCGTCCACTGGCTGGCGGCCCCCGAGACCCCGCCCACGGATTACGTGCCGTCCCGGTCTCCCGCGGCAGCCCCTCGATGCTTGCTACTTTTTCTTTTCTCTCTCTCTTTTCCTCCACCCGCCTCAGTAAACGTTCTGTGGTTCAATGTATGCAAAGCCGGCTCAGCAGCAGGCAGGGATCTGGGTCCTGCTGGGGAGAGAAAGCGCCCTTTTCTTCTCGATTCGGTCTCCTCCAGCAGATCAGAGAACCCCTTGCAGATATTTCACAGTTTTTTAAAAAGTTAAGGGGGTTTCGAATCACCCTTCTACAGGCTTTGGGCGCATCAAAGGATTCTTCAAAAGTAGCAGAGGAAATTCCCCCCGGGCTGTTTAACGATAGAGCCGTCCCTCTGCTTAAAAATGCTGTGATGGGCTCATCTAAAATGAATAATTTGCCACTAATAAGGGAACACAAATACCTATCAACAAAAGACGCCAGAAAACTTAGGCTGTATGTTTTGTGTGAATGCGCACGTACACAGACATATATTAATTGCTTTTTTGATTTGAGCTTGTGCGTTTATTTAAAAAAAAAAAGTGTATTTACATACACAGTAAATAGAATGTATATATTTATATGAAAATTAAATGTATTCTCATATATATACATTGATTATATACGTATATAAATTGGGTTTGTGCCCACAAGCACAGGACTTTGTTCTCCCAGCCCCCAAGTTTAGAATTTGAATGAACTTTGTTGCAACTTAAGTAACAATGTTAATTCTAAAGTCTCCTGTAAGGCAAATCTCTGATGATAAAACAAAAGGTGATAGAGCAGCTTTAAAAGGCAGACAGCCTGGGAGAAGATATGTTTTGGGTTTCCTTAACAGTCCTTTTGGAGTGAAAATCAACAAGGAAAGCCCAATTCCCAAGCAAGGAACTGGCTAAGAGAAACAGTTATTTCTCTGAGGAAAGTGACATCACACACATAGCAGAAGAAGGGAGAGAGAGCATTCTGTATATATACACAGATTTCCACCACTTGGTCTGTCAGAGAAATCTTAAAACCAGGCCCAAAATATTTACCCAAAAGAGCTTTCACTTGCTAGAAGCCCTGTCTGGTCTGCCTACATAGAGTCAGGAAAAGCACTGTGGGCTGCTGGTGGCTGTGACGTCATGAGATTGGCTCACAAACCACAAGGCAGAAACCAGACTTTCAAGGGATTTGGTGTTTTCTTGGTGAGAACATTCAGAATCCTGAGCGAGCAGGAGGCACCACAGGAAAAGTGTTACAAACACTGAGAGTGGACAGACTACCCGCTCCCAGGGAAAATCCCTCTTTTCAGTCTTCCTAAGGGACACTCCCTGCTCTCCTACTCCTTCCTCCAGACCCTCCGTGTGGTTCAGAGATCTGCTCTATTTTCAGTAAAAACTCTTTGATCAGTAAGTTCAGTAAGAGCTTCCTCTATTTGGTTGATCAGGACTGTATATTTTTTTTTGGAACTGTATATTTTAAAACACTGCTTTAGCTCATGATCTTTAGTAAGCCAGGAAAACTCAGTATTTTATTCATTTATGAATTCGACAAACCTTTACTGAGCTGTTACTAGAAGATAAATCTTTTTGAGCTACCACTAACTGGAGGGGAGTTAACAAAAACAAAAACAAAAAACTTAGTGAGGCTGTACCGGACCCATCAGGAATGAATGATTTTCAGGGTCTCTAACATCATCTCAGATTCAGTCAAGTGGGAAAGATAAGAGATACATGATATTGTAACACGGTAAGGTCTTTAACCAAAGTAGAAGCAAAGCTCTAAGGAAATAGAGACAGAACCCGGCAGGTTGGCAGGTAAGAGGGGCAAGGGTGGGCAGGGCACATCATTCTCTCTCCAGAGAGTCTGCAGGTTGGAGCAACAGCCTAGCTGACTCTAGTAAGCAAAATTGCTGAGCATTTCCTTACTGGGTGACCTTGTTCACATTTCTTAACCTCTCTTTAACCTTTAGTTTACATAGTAGTATTTATCCTTGTGAGAATTAAATGAGATGATGCTTGTAAGTCCACTCACTATGAACACTCTCAAAATGGTAGCTCTTTATCAGAGGGTGGGGGGGTGTGAGGGGGGTGGTTAACTACAAATAGCTTGTAGGAAAGGATGAATAAGATGATTGCCGTTCACCTTGAATGTCTCAGAAAGATAAACATTGATGAGGCAAAAACTTAGCATCTTGTGACTTGGGTATAGCCAACTGAGGGTATAATGAGGGCTTTGCCAGTTCCAACAGTCTGGGTATGGCTCTCTCAATTAAACTCTCCACTCATCCATACCCACACTCCCCCAAATGTTATTTTTTATTAGCATTCACAGTTATGCCTAAGTACAGACAGGAGTAAAGGCATGTTTATAACAATCTAAAAACAAACTCAGTAGATTCCACAATAAATCTGCACTGAAGTTTTATAAATCTGGGCAGAAGCTTTACAAAACAGCAATGGTCACTGCCTCAGATGGACCGCAACTGGATGGGAAAAAGTAGTTGGATGGAAATGAAAACAGATTCTGAACCTACTAGGAAATGAAGGTACAGCCAGATTTGTGGGAAGATGCGGGGGAAGGGTATGGCCAGGATCTTTTTTTTTTATATATAACTTGCCAGACTATAAGAATAGCTTAGTCTATCCCATGGATATAGCCCAATTTTCCAAGTCCCTAGTTATATGACTTAAACCAAAAACCTACTTCCAAAGATAACAAACTGGGTGCACCTTGCAATTATGTACAATAACCCATGTGATCCTTACAACATCGATATGGATGTTGTCATCCCCAGCTGGTCAGTGGGAGAACAGGGATTTGAACTCAGGTAATTTGACTTCCGGGTCTGCCATCTTAACTGCTGCACTCAGTTGCCCAGTATGTCAGGAGCCAATCTTTGGTCACCATTCAGATTTAGTCTCTTGTCTTAAGTTTAGTAGTCAGAAAAACTAGGGTAAGTATATATTTCCCTAAGATACACACTAGGATATGAAACCTAGAGCAATTATGTAAATAAGTAGAAGATAGATACTCTCTATCTGACTGTACCTATCCAGGATAGGTACACTCACCTTGTATCTATCCTCCCTCAGCACCTGGGGCCTTTAACAAAGACACTGTCCATCCCATCCAGATCTCCCATACAACCAAGCTGTTACCACCTTCTGCCCATGAGAGCTACCTCCCTCAAAGACTCTCACTACCATATCTTACCTACAAAATGGAACCTGCCATGTAGCAACCTGACTGCCCTTGCTTCCCTTCCTGGAAAGATCCTTGAGGGCTGGTCTTATTGCTACCTGGGTCTCCCTAGGGCCCTTCTTGGCTCCAACTGGTCCATCTTCCCTCTCCTCACAGGCCTTTCACCAATAAGATCTCAATATGCCTTAAGGCCAAGACCTCATGAGTTATGACCAGTCATGGGCTAAAATGCCCTATTTAAATTCAGTTTTGCTTCATTGTAAACAGCCCCATTACCAAGTAATTCTCAGAGTTACACAGTTTCCTGATAGAAATAGAATTAAAATGAAGAATCCCATAACTTTTCCAATTTCATCTTGCACACATATTAATTTAATATATTTATATTCAACACAGAGTCATTTATTAAGACTTTAATTGGATCTCAGTTTTTCCCATCTAAAGATTTTAAATGAATTCCAGATATCATAAAACTCTTCTTGTCATCCACTACATAAATTATGCTTCCATAGGAGACTGTGACTGGAAGATCCATTATACAATGTTATGGGAAAGTCATTTGTTTTTTTTTAACATTCTGAGCCAGAATAGGAAATGTTTTTTGTTGTTGTTGTTGTTGTTGTTGTTGTTGTTTTCTAGAAACCATTGCACTGTTACAGGGCAATGACCTAGGAACTTTTTCATACCCTAAAACACATGCCTATCCTGTCAGTGTCCTTGTGCATGTCTATATGGATGTCTGTGTCCAAGTATGTCTATGAATGTGCCCTTTTAGATATACATGAGAATATATTGACATGTGGGTTAAGCTTTATTTCCCTCCATTTTGGATAGCAGATCATTCTAAAATGTCATCCGTTTTGCATTCCCAAGACTTGGGCTTACTGTTTTTTCAAAACTTCACACAGTTCTAATACAGAATTCATCATTATCCCTGACTATACTCATACTCATCTGGGATGAACTCCAAAACAAGTTATGCATGCTTTAGAATTGCATTTTTCAAACACTATATATTTTCTCCTTCTCCCTTAATGTTCTTTCTCAACTTCCTCTCAGTTCTACTCTTCTTATTGGAAGTTCTCATCTTTTCTCAATTTTTTTTTCAAATAAACCAAAAAGGGGGGAAAAAATCTGTTTTTAATTAAGAGAAAAATCTGAAATTAATGTTCTTTAATGTTCTAGGTTTAACCAGATTTGTTTTTCTTAAACAATTCTCCCCTAAGATCTTTTAAAAATATAATCAATTGAAAGTAAATATGGCTGGAAGCACTGGCAGGTAGTTGGAATTTGGTTTGTATTGGATTTCTCTAAGGCCATTGACGGCTCCATTATTAATTGAGTCTGATAAATCTCAACCACGTTTCTTAGAGTTTGTTTTCCTTTTATTGCGAGGCTCTTCTCGTTTCTGTACACTCTTCTTAGATTTCACCACTTAGTGAGGTTTGATGACATACTGTCTTAACATATTAGAGTGGAAATCTAGTATTTGAAATGTATCCATGGTGGATCTGATGGGAAGACCCACAGGACGGGGTCTCACAGTTGGCCTCCTTCTGCAGTTTATTTTGCCTGAGCCAATTTTTCTCTAATGATTTGGCTCTCACAAGCCCTCTGGAAAGAGCTGGGATTTTTTTTTCTAATTTCTTATGTTAATACAAACACTCACTTTTTCTGTAGCTATGTCCGGCTATGGTAGGAAGGAGAAGAGCAAAGTCATGCAATCTAAAGAAGAATGGT